TGTTTTATCAGAACTGACAGTGCCTGGTTGGGTATTACACAGCCTCAGCATTACCGTTGCAATGAAGTACTGAAGAGCAAGACCTATAGAGCAACATTCTGCAGCAAGCCTCACCTCATAAGAAAAAAATACCATGATGCTTTCCAAATCCTATCATAGGTCCTGTTTCAGCCAGGCTTGTACTAAGGGTATGGGCAATCTACGACAGTAAAGGAGATGCCCATGGCTGTGCAGAGCCATGCCTACAGTGCTTCAGTTCTTCAGTACTGATAGACTCAAATATGATCAGCAGATTAATGGTCATTCTTATTTCCTCTCCACACCCATTTGGTGTCAATTGTCTAGTGAGTTTATTAATACTGACAAGTAAAGCTAAGGTGGCTGTTTCCAAGAGGTAATCTTGGAGTATAAAGACACAGTTGTATACTTCTACATCTTCAAATAAAAATTCACAGCAGTCTCTGAACAGTATTTTTATGAGTTTTCCACTCACATTTCCTTTATATCTCAGTCCAGTTGCTTGCAAATGAGAATTTTGTCTATCTAAAAGCCTGATGTGTTGCTAAAATTCATGGATTCTGTGATTTTACTGCTTTGTTTACTTCATATTAAGCAGGTGCAATACTAAATTAAGTAACCTTAACAGGGTATTTGAAATACCTGCTAGTGATTTCCTTCAAATACCTACCAAAATATATTTGCAGATAGTATTCAAAACAGAAATTAGGAATGCAGAATTCTTAGGCATGTGCAGAGGCAGATCTAAGTGTACTCACCGTACAGCAAGCAGTGAAACCTTTCAATTTCTCCTATAGATTACAATGATTGAAATGTCAACGGCCCCATTGATGCCAGAAGTACACCTGATCAGAATGCTACAGTGAATGGAAGGGAAAACATCTACAGAAAGCTTTACATTACACTTGGTATTACAAAAGCTGGAGGCAGGCACCTTGATAAAAATGCAGGAGCTCCCCGTGTGAACTGGCTTCCAGCTTGTACTAATGATTTGTGCAATGAGTGACAAACATGTTCAATTTTTCTGTGTCATGTTTAAGCCATTAGTAAATCAACTTTACACCCTCCCCCACCATCACAAAAATTTGGTTTCCTCTAAACTTTGGCCCTCACAAAAACAAGTTTTTCAAATGTGAATAAAGTGAATCCTTTTTAATGAAAAAAAAAAAAATAAAGATTTTATATGGTAAGAGGCTGGCTTGCTGAACATTAGTGCCATTTGAAATCAATTAAGCGAGTGCAATCTGGATTACCTAAATAGAGGCAGTTTACCTTTGAAGTAGCTACTATGGGATGATTTTCAAAAGCATCCAAGGACAGATTTACACTAGGCACATTCAGTACAACAGTAAAATGCCCATTGATTTCAGTGCCTCGCCACCACAGAAACATGCAGTAGGTGTCCTGAATTTTTCATTTCATATTCATGGACATATTTCATATGTGTCCATGATTTTTCACTTCAGAAAAATACTTCAGTGTGAACTCACCTAAGTAAGTTCATGGTGTACTGAGATTTAACTTACATGCTATACTACAAAGTGGACTAAAATAGAATAAAGAAGGGGTTCATACAGAAGTATTTCCGTTTGTAACTAAGTGTTCTATGCCTTTAGTTACAGTAATTAAAGTAATTCACAGTGATAAGAACTATTGGGGATTATCGTCTTTGCTTGTTAATGTGATAGTCCAATTAATCTTGCGAAGGAACAAAGATTACCAGACTATTTAACAGTGACATCTAATTATTTTGGAGAAAATCATGCATCTTTCTGTTCACAGGCTTACAATCGCATTTTGCACCCTGACATCTTGGAAAAGATACAGATCAAACAAGAATTGGGCTGCTAAAATTATTAACTGCTGAACAAGATTCGTTTCATTACACTTGATGTTTATTAGATCATATTAGATAACACCTGCTATGGAATATGTATGAAGCACAATATAGAGAACACAACACTGATTCCATGCACATCTAACTGAGAATCCACGGTGTCCACGAATTTTGCATTTTTTAGCTGGAACGTTTAATGAAAAAACACTTCATTTTTTCTAATCAAAACAGTCTGAGAGTTAAAGGACGAACCCCAGCAAGCATTCACCTGCTAATGTATTGTTTCTGACCTAACTTTTCCCCAGGATTCTGGTTTGTTAATAAATCATCCTAGCAAAACATGTAGGTAAAAAGGGGCTTTTTTTCCTTGCCACCCTCCTCCTACGCTCTGACAGATTCAGTAGAATATGATCCTTGTCTTTATAAATGTTCTTAATACTTCCCTACAGAAGTACACTACATTTTCCAAACAAGGTTAACTTCCTCAGGACCAGTTAGTTGGACACCTGTTTATGCTGGTTTAAGCCCTTTGTTATGCTTAGGAAATAATTTTCCTTCAGAAAGCAGCTTGGAAACATTCATTGTGCTCCCAGTTTCAGGAACTTGAACAATACTGAGAATGAAACAAGATAGAATGAGCTCCAAATGGCCCAGTAGCAGAAAATTTAACTAAGGGATTTCCCCTTTGTATGGGTGGCAAGGAAGACATACCTCAGGGTGGACATCATCCCTGTCCCACAGGCATTTCTTCTGTTTAATGGGCTAAGTTTCGTTCCCTGCTAAGTAGCAAACATATGAAAACTCAGTGCAACCTCCTTGGGTCTTTCAATCTTGTGTTACACAAGAAACACATTCCCAGGCTTTGAGGCACTGTTAGATGGAACAAGGAAAGGTGAGCTCTGATTCCCACACAGAACTGTTTCCATACCGAGGCTTTCGTCTGCCTACAAGTGATTCTGCAGTGTGGTACAGCATATGTCCTCCAGCAGTTTTGCAGAACCCACAATCACCCAGGTTCCAAACACCAGCAGGACCAAGGAAGTTGAACTGTCAAGTCCTCTGTGCTATCTGACATTTGATGTTAGCTGTAAGGAGCTGATTGTTCTGAATCCACATCTGTGCTGAACTGACCACTCAAAGCTTAAAGTCAAGCCATTAGAAGCCCCAGAGACAGCAGCAGAACGTCAGATTTCTGATTTATAGTCTAACAACAATAACCCATTCCAGAGACTACAAGAGCTGCTTCTGAGGCTGGGCACATGTTCATGAACACAGATAACAAAAGATACGGAACTGTTTGGCCTTATTTAAATGGAATCGATCCCTTGGTAAATACACAGTGAAAAAGGTACTTTGGGAAAGACCAGGAAAAAAGGGGGAGGGGATAAGGGGGAAATCAATCACCTAAGAGAAGTGTCCTTTAACAGAAAGTCCAGTGAAAATTGTAGGGGAAAGCCATGGGGATAAAGTACTTTAAAGTCATTGATTAAAGTAAAGCAGGGTGGGAAAGCAAAAGGTCTGACAATCATTCCACCTTGCACCATGATTTTATCAGCTCTCAGAAGACTTAGATTAAAGCCTCAGGAAGACAGAGTCAAGTTTCCAAAGGAGTTCACAGAAAGTTTAACACACATTTTTCTCAGGTGCAGTTTTAGCTTTGCAAGTATTTTGGAGATCATACAGCCTGAGCTTTGTGCATACACTTTATTGCAGGCCTTGGGGAGTGAAAGTAAGGGAAAAATGGCACCATCTGGCTGGTTTCCCGTTTTCTGATTCTCATCCATGTAAGCCCTTTCTGGTGGCAAACATTTGGTTATTTCCACATCTGTGCTGCCCTAACCACCTCAGCAGTACCTGAAGTAAGAAATAAGAGCAATGATTCACAAGCTGCAGGCCTGTGCGTCATTGCCAAGCAATAAAAACACGAGCTGCAGACAGCAGAGAAGGGAAAAATACTTCCAGACTGGATCTGTGCCTTTTTCAACACCACTGTCATCAACAGCTTCTCCAAATAGACCCCAGAACCTCAGCATGTTGTTATACTGAATAGGGCCAGATGGGACCTGCAATTTTATTACACTTCAGGTTCTATTACTTCAGGTGAAGCAATTAATGTCTGCCAAGCTAAATGACTCACTCTTTGATCACCTGTTCCACTGCCCTCCACGAAAATCTTCAAAGGCCAAGGAGGTTGATGTTGTATGTAGGTAACCAAAGGCAGCAATTTGCCCTGTGCCCTTTTTCCTCTATGACAAACCAAAGAGTAATAAAAAGGTTCTACCCTGGTTTATGCAATTGCTCTGGGTTCATCTAGAGCCTTGCTTAGCAAATCCTTTCAGTGAACATATTGTACTTGGTGAAATAGGGGGATCATGAAAACAGGGCTGGATTATCCCCATGCTTTGCTAGCCAAGCCACTCTCGGCAGCTGCCCAGGACTAACTCAGACCACTCCATCAAACGTTCTCAGCTTACACGTAATACAGCCATTCTTTCTCCTAATTGCTCTCTACTCCAGGTCACACACCAGGGCACCTCTGCCAGTACATGCTATCGGCTGTGCTAGTTACAGGCAAGTTTTACACTGCTTAATTCTCCAGATAACAGACTTCCAAACGCACAAGTATTGAAACAAGCAGAATGCTACAACAGCTATATATCTGGCAGGCACTCTCAGGCAAACTCAATAGTGCTGCAAGCTGATATATATTAATGTCTGGCATATCAATCACTTCAAATTCCAGTATGATTGTCAAAAGACTACATTTGCCTATAATATAAACCACTTTTTTTCCCCTCCAATTACTTTATGGAAATTTTTAGCACAGATAATATGTAGTATTAATAAATCCTCTCTAGCAATAGAAAGACTGATTTTCTCTCTTTGTTCATTTTTTTTCACCAGGAAAACCTCACACATTGCAACTTTCTCAAGAGTAAAGCACAAAAATATTGTTTCATACACATCTGCTAACACTTTCTGATTTATTAGACCAGTCTGAGCTCATATCACATAATAATCAATTACATTAAACAATCTACTGCAAATTCCCTGCCAATAAAATACAGTCATTTTCAGTTTCTGATGTGCTCTTTAGTTACCCACAAATAGGACTTCCACACAAGCAGCAAGTTTCTGCTTTTACCTGTGAAAAAGTGTCTTGTGTTCTTGAATTATCCATGTCTGTGAAAATTGTTTGTTTCATCAGTATCCCATAGGGTTCAAAACTCCAGTTAATTCATGAATCACACCTGCTTTTCCACAGCACAGTTCTCGTCCTTTCTCTCTGCTTCTTTCTCTCTTATGAAATCTTGCAGCCAATGGCTTTTATTAAGTGTTACTTCCTTTTATGCTGAGAACTGAAAGAAACGATAATGACGCTTTGTTTCCTTATGGCAGCTCTGTGAAAAGACTCAAAGCAAAAAAAGTAGAAGTTGGTTGTTTGCTTTTCCAGAGCTGATATTTATGTTCTAGTGACCTCCTAAAACCACCGAGCCATGAATCTGAGATTATGATTGATTACTGTACATTGGATCTATCCAAACACTCAACACATCAGTTACCAGCATGAATTTCCTACTAAATGCAACAAAGTTTGCCTGAGGAATTACAAATACAATGCAAAATTTTCACAGCAATATTTTCATGCACAGCAGCAATCTTTAACATAACACCTCAACCTCCAGCAAGAATATGCGCATATTCGACGAAAGCACTAAAGCACCTGCAGGTTCACATACAAGATTCCTGTAAAGATTAACAATAAACTCTGGTTTTGCTATCTGTGTTGGAGGAGAGAGTCTAGTGATTAGAAGAGGGAATTAACAGCAAGGCATTCCTGAAATCTAACCCTGTTCAGAAGCTACAGAGAAAACATGCCTCAGTTTCCCCACCTGTACATGGAGGCTTCTATTATGACACAAAAGCATATCAAAATTGTTTTGGAGATTAAAAGTCCTTAATAAACATTTCTGGAAGATGGACTGTTCATAGCTTGAAATTTCTTCTCTTTCAAATAGAGGCAAAGGAGAAAAATCAGAAGTCGCTATATAGCTCTCGCAAAGTAAGTATTTTTAAACATGGCAGGAGTTAAAAGATTTAGAAGAGGGGTCTCTTTCCTCTACTAGCTGGGTTCCTTAGCGATTTTTTACTATTGCTAAATATTAACAGAAATAGAACATGAATAGAATATTAATTGAATAGAATATTAATTGAATAGAATATTAATTGAATAGAATATTAATTGACTAGAAACAGAACACACAGAGAGGAAGCTGGGAAGCCCAGTGATGAAGTGGTGCCAATAGACCACTCTGGGAGCAAAGGCAGGGCTCCCTGGCTCAGCCCCATATATCAACGTGCATAAATGCCGCCTGCTCTTTTAGCTGACAGTTACGGACCTTTTGCCGAGGAGCTCAGCCAAAAGACAGTGCTGCAAAAGCAAGAGGCAAATGGAGGCAGCCCCAGCCCAAGCTGGAAGTCAGAGACAAGCTGCAGAGACTGACACCGCGCAGAGCTGGCCAGCCCATTCCTTCACCTTGATGGCAGGTCCTCCACAATGCCAGAAACAGATCTGAAACTTGTGCCTGAAAGCAGGCTCTGACAGCCACACAGGATCCATCAGCTACACAGTCAAGAGCCTTTCAGCCCACACTTGCTAGATGTTTGGGTAGATGGACCCAAAAGAGACCATATTTAGCAAATGTGTGGGAAGGAAAGAATCAGGAATGAATTCTCCCGTGGTTACTTAGGACAGTACAAATAGAAAGGAAGGTCAATATATGCTAGTATAAACAGTTTTAAATCACTTGAACCGATTAAAAGTAAGTCTTATTCTTTGAAAGAATGTTAGCTTAACTAAGGCAGATAAATGTAACAGGGCCTAAGCCTAGATCTTCTAAAGAAATATTTAATAGAAGACTGTCCATCTTTCAGTGCTCTCAATTCTCAATTCTGACTATGTCCAGTATGACAGGATGGAACTTTTTCAACTGGAAAAAGAAATCATGGGAAATAGGTCTCTTTGACAGCTATGTTAAATGGTTTGGTTAAAATAGAATAGCAACTAATTCATTCGGAATCAAATTTCTAGTATTGGCCTATTCCCCCTATAAGTCCTCAGCCCTGAAGAGACTATGGTTGTCTCTTTGAATTAAAGAATCCCAAAGAATTTCTTTTAATAATGTGATTATGAGCCACAGAACATTTTATAATAAGCAAGTGACAGGTTTCTTTTATAAAGATTCTGCAGAGATATTAGATGGTCTTTTCCCCTCCACCACCTGCCTGACAGCATGTCCTGCAAGGTTACAAAGCCTGTGAGAAAGCAGTTAATCAGAGCAGAGCTCAATTGCTACTTCTAGAGCAAACATTTTCAGTTAATCTGAAGTCGTTAATTACCCCTTCCCTTAATAAAGGCTCTGGTGTAATTTTCTTTGTTTTCTTCTCAGTTAATCGATTCAAACATGTCAGATTCATGCGGGGCAGCAAACACATGGGAAATTCAGTGCTTAAATAAACTACTCTCCAATGAAAATGAAAAGAATGAGGAAGAGAGTTTTAAACCAAAATGGAAGAACAAGAACACTTTGTGCGCTGTCCGATGCGTAAGGCAAATGTGTCATACTAGCAATGCATATTCCACTTCAGAACAACTCTGACAATAGGGAAACTGTCGCCCTGTCTCTGAAGTGTTCAAGGTCAGGCTGAAGGGGGCTTGGAGCAACCTGATTTGGTGGAAGGTGACACTGCCTGTGGCAGGGGATTGGAACTGAATGAGCTTTAGAGTCCCTTCAAACTCAAACCCTTCTATGGTGGAAAAAGCCAGTGTCACAGATGACTTTGTAACCACTTTTCCCTCTTCCTTAGTACTTGCACTAGGTGCTAGGTGTTTGCTGCCAAGCAGGGTGGACTTCTGCCTCAAGACGCACATTGTTCTGCCTTGCCACAACCTCTCCAAAAGTCCTGCTGCCCATGGTCCCCAAGTCTGGTCCCACTCCCACCCACCAGTGCACATCTGCCATACTTCCCTTATATTTTTTTAGGCTAAGGAGACAAGTCAGGTGTCTCAGATTTACTAACAGAGATTCTGAACAGCTTTTTCCAAACTTCCTTCACTTCTATATGCAACCACAAGGTGTAAGCCTCCTTCTCAGCCTCCTGATTGCATGATCTCATCCTCTTGCTCACCAGATCCCTCACAGCCTTGGCATGACTTCACATGCCAGGAATCAGAGATTTCCCTACCTGCTCTTCAAAATGCTAAACCCCTGGGGCTTTCCAGGAGGATATTGTGGATAATTCTGTGTGAACTAATGATTTTGTGCCTTTTGTGGAAGTTAAAAAAAAACAACTCCTATGACAAGTGTGCTTTCAATCAACCTCAAATACTTTAATAGCCAGAAGTCAAAAAATGTTTGTATCCCTTCTCATTTCATTAAAGAATGTTCTTAAATATTTTCGTACCCAAGAAAAAGACTTCCTGAAATAAGTCATTTCAGGCTAAAAACTGGATGTTTGACTGAAATTATTCTTTAAAACAAACAAACAGAAGCATTAACTTCATGGAAACATTTTCTCCTCTCATTCAAGCACAAACGTTTAAACTTTTCAGCAGAGCTGGAATGTTCTTGCCAAATATTTTAGAGGTGAAAAACAAAGAAACTTGTTTCACCTCAAAATTACAGCTTAAACCTGCTTTATAATTTTTTTTTTCTTTTTTTCTGTGCAACAGTGTTGAAGAAAAGAGGAAACCAGAGCTCCTAATGACACCATTGTGTAATGTGGGGTTTTGACCTAGTGCGATAGTGAGCATACCATGGGTGTTAATCATCAGAAAGTGATGTGGGGAGACATGCTGAAGGTAAATCAAGAAAAAGGAATTGAGGGGAAAAAAGATGAGTAATTGAAGAGAGAACAGTTCATTTTTCAAATGGAAACAGGAAGAAAAGGCTGAAAGGACCAAAAGGGATAAAGTATCTCCTCTAAAGGAAACACACTGCAATTGTAAGTGTCATGTCTTAGAATAGGTTAATAGGTACATCAAGGAAGTAACTGAGATACAGGATAAAAAACACTCTGACATTAAGGGCTGGTATGATAAAAGGGCTTACACATCTTGCTCAGTGACCAAATGAGAGACTGCGCCTGGATCTGTAAGACTGAAAGAGAAAACAGGTACCTTTTGCACAGCCCAAATGAAAAGAGACAGAATGTTGAGAGTCAGCCCTATGTACAGAGGAAGCCAGCAGTAAAATAACCAACCTGGAAGATGCTGTGCTTCTGCTTTCCATTAAATTGACATTCTTTGGAGGCAGCAGTGCCTATAAGCAGAGCTGGGAATCACTGAAGAGCCAGGGCATAAGGGAGGAGTAGTCTGCCTGGTCCTTTTCACACCTGAAAGTGATAATTGTCTTACATGCACCTTTATTTTTAAAGAGACAGAGAACATTAGGGGCTCTATTGCAGGGATTGTTTAGATTTTGAGGATGAACAGAGCCCCCTCAGTGTGAATTCATTAAAGAAATTTGGCTCGATGGAGAAACCAAGAAGCACCAAAATAGAAACCCTTAGCAATTTAAAAGAGAACATTATTAAATCACATACATCACCTAAATATCACCTCTGCTTTCTAACATAAACCAAAATCCAGTATTTTAAAACAAAGGAGATCTCTGGGGCTTAAATGGACACCCTCCATTTCACATGATGGATTGTATGACTGTGCCAACAAGTTCTGAATGAAACTGGAAAACCAACCAAACATGTTAGAAGGAAACCCTGTTTCAGGGGGGTCTGCCTTTTCTATTTCCCCAGTGAATATCTAGCACAGAAATTGACGGTATTGCAAATTTTGGCTATTTTTATTTTACCTAATTTCGATCCTGGTTTTAAGCAAGAAGAATACTGATGTACAACAGATGATGCTACAATGAACTGGAACATCACCTGTGCGTTAAATGCAAGGGAAAACAAAGTAAAAGGATGGGAAGGTGTGACTAAAAGATGAATAATTTAAAATTAAAATTTAGGACAATCAATTGAGCCTGTGAAACTAAATTCAGGTCGAGAGTGACATCTAGTGATGCGCAGTACTCGGTCCTGGCCCTCACACAAATACCACCAGGTTTTGCTGTATTCTCACCCATAAATCCTTCTCACAGTACACAGCTTCATACATCTTAGGTTACACCTCTGTAAATTAATTCCTAAGCCTGTAAGCAGAAATAAGAAATTTCTACATAAAAAATTTATGCGCAACTATTCCTGTTGAACTGAGACTCATACCCAGAACCTGGTCCAGCCTGTCCTGGCGGCATCAAGGGAGAGGGCACTCCAGATCTGAGACAGCTGGAATGTATACATTTCATTTTGGTTTTGTTATTCACTTTAGAACTGTGATTTTGAAATAGAACCCAAGGGAGGGAGGGAGGAGGAAAGGAGAGCTGAGAGGGATGAGGTGGCTTGGACAGGACTGTCAGCATGGCAGTATGTCCAACCAAGAGGGACACCTGAATTTCCCAGGACCATCAATGTGCAAGGAGGCATCAGAGTTGGACATCGGAAGCTCATCCCAGCCACTCTGGCTGGACACATGACAAAATTAAACATTTTCCATCTGGTTCACCAGAAATACCCTAAAAGAAATGTTTTCCTGTGGAATGGGGAAGGGGGGGGATGTTAATTTTTTTTTCAGGCAATTTGAGTTAATTTTGTAATTAACTCAATGTGCGCAGTTAGAATGAATGGTGGGAGAATTGAGAAAAGGGAAAAAAACCTCCTCAGTAGGAACTAGAAGATTGGATATAAGGAAGAAGTTCTTTACTGTGAGGGTGGTGAGGCACTGGAATGGGCTGCCCAGGGAAGTTGTGAATGCTCCATCCCTGGCGGTGTAAAGGCCAGGTTGGACAGAGCCTTGAGTGAGATGGTTTAGTGTGAGGTGTCCCTGCCCATGGCAAGGGGGTTGGAACTGGATGATCTTAAGGTCCTTTACAACCCTAACTATTCTATGGTTCTATTATTCTATAATACATCTACCCATTAAAACGAAGGAGATGCACAGCACCCAACTGATGGAGAGGTCAGGCTTTGGCTTCTTTCATAAAAGCAAATATCCTTCTTTCATTGTTCAATTCTTTCTACGATACATTGTACAAAGCATAGTGGCAATTTGATATATAAATAAAGCAAATCAGTAATTAGTCACAGAGCTATTAGTTCTTCCTTTGTGAATTGGCAATGCACAAACTACTTAGTTGATGAATTTTGAATAGCAAAATGTTTCCAGCAGTTTTCTGCCTTTGATAGTGTTTCATTGTCACCATCAAGAAAGGAAAAGAAAAACCCACAGGTCTCTCTCAAATTTCCTTTGAGCTTCCCACTGTGTGCAACAAACACTAACAGTCGAAATGTCAGAGCAGTGCTCCCAGTGCATCCCGGCAGTGGCCTGGTTCTTCTCAGTGGGGAGGAGGGAGCCTGACATCCCAGCTAGATGCTCAGCTCCGTGAGACCATGACACCAATCCCAAAGCCTGCAAGAGAGGAGAGGAAAAGGGAGAGGAGAGCTGCCCCTGTCCCAGCAGCAGCCACTGCATCCATCCCTTTTGACTCCTGCAGCCCATGGCAGGGACAGAGGCAAAGAGACTTGCCTGATTTTGCCAGCTGAGCCAACCCTGACAAGGACATCTTTGTAAAACCATGAAGTAGCATAAAACCAAGCAACACTTGTGTGAACAGTTCCTCTCATGTTTAGCTGACGTTCAGTGGCCTTTAGCCAGCAGTGCTCACACCTGCTTGCCCCACAGCCTGTGTTTTAGTCAAGAAAGCTTTGCTGGTGCTGGTGATACTACACCCATTCATATTTTAGCTCATTTTTCAACTGATCACAACATATTAATGCAAAATTCTAGTCCTCTGTCACTGGCGATCTCACCCTGTTATTACTGATGCTGCATCCAGTGACGCACCCTAAAACTAAACAAGTTAAAAGCCCACATTACTCAAAAATGACAGCTTTATATATTTACCCCTCTGTGACACAAGATGGCACCAGACACTTCCTTAATTTCAGGCTATCAAAAAAGTTACATCAAAACAGTTTAAAATTGAAGAGCCATAGATACGGGTTTAAATGAGAAGTCAGAATACGATGGGCTCTGTAGAGACTGTGTCCAGGGTGTGCACCGGCTCATGGGAATGGCTGGGGCTCAGCAGCGGCAAGCAGTAAATGCTGAAGGGTTTGAAATAACAAGAAATTGGCTGTGGAATCAAAGGGAGAAGTAAAGAAATCCTACCTCTGAGGGCAACAGTCAAGATCACACTTCTGAAAGCTGTGGAACACGGCTGCACCACCCGTGTAATGAGGTGTAAAAGGGTAGGGAAGTCGGGGTCCTCTGTACTCCAGGATAACCTCTTTATCCTATAAGGAGCCCTATGACAAAAGGATGCCTCTTCTCCTGCAGCCTCCCTTTGGAACTTCAATCTTTGGATCAATCAAAACAAGTATTTTGGCTTTGACAAAAGACAGTATTAAAAACATATGATGACAGGAGACTGCAGCTGCCTCCTCCCTGTCCCACCATTTCATTCTGGCCACTGAGCCATGTACAGGGACAGCTCAAATAGGTTCACCTCCTCTGTTTTCATTGTTGGTCAGCAAACGACAGGCAAAGAGTAAAGCAAGAGGCTTCCACAGAAAACCACTATGTCTCTGGTAAGTGATTGTTGTTGGCTGAAGCCATGCAGGCAGTTGTCCATCTGTGCTGAACACGCAGTTAATGCCATTGCAGGCTTCAGACAGGAGTGTTGCAAATATAACCACCAAGTGTTCACTAAAATCCTACGCCTTACACATGCAGTGGTGTAATGTCAAGCTCAAGCAAGGCAGCTAATCACCCAAACTTCAGCAAGCACATTCGCAAGCCCAGCTTTTCTGGAGAGGGGGCTATTACCAGTCACTAAAATCAGCAAGCACAAGCCAGATTCCTAGATGCTGGCTTTAAAAATGACCAGTAAATCTGGTGCTCAGATGTGGAATTTCATTGTCATAAAACTTGCCTTTAGGCAGCCCCTTTTGGCACAGTCTCCGAAAGAAAACAGGCCTGCAGGCAGAGTCCTGGGCAGCAGCAGCAACAGAGAACTGAAATGGGCTGAATCAAGCCCCTGTCCTGCCAATTTTCCCTCCAGGAAGTATTCATCATTATCCTCCATTTTACAATGTAGGGAGCACTCAGCTGCACTCTCTTCTGTAATTTCAGCCATAGCTGTTATTTAGAAACCTTCGCCACCAATGTTTGCCAGTGGCAGGTTATTACTAAAAGCCTTTTGAAATTCCAACCTTGGTGTCACTGAGTTATTCATCATCAGGCCATTTGCTGGGCAGTGGAAAGAGCAGGGGGGAGTCTGCAGAGCTTGGCCTTATTCAGTCGCTGCTGCCCACTTAATACAGAAAATGAAGGAAGAGATTTCAAGAAAAATAGGTGCTCCACTATGGAGCAGAAAACACAAAGCTGAGACCCAGACTGAATTAGCTTCCTTCTCTGCTTTGCACAGAGTGAGAAGGAATAGAGAACTACCTCTGGAAATAAAAGTGTCTTGTGGTTAAGATACAGGAATGAGGCACCCACCCGTGGCATTGAATCTCATATCTCCACTGCAAAGTGGCAAAAACAGTATTTCATTCCCATTCCTGCTCTGACATTTAATTAGCCAGTGAAAGAGCAACAACCCACTGCGCGGGGGTGTGTATTTCTCGCATTGACAGATCTCTGGGCACCCTGTTAGCACATAGTCTCCCCAGATGATCCACACAAGCCTTTCAAGTTGGCATTGCTTGGACGAGGAAAGGCAGCATTGGCTCACATAAAGGAAACCCTTAGAAATATTATGCCTATATATTGTTAATATTGTTAATAGCCCATGTCAGATGGCAAAATCGGCTATTCAGAAACACCTAACCATACGTTATTATTAAATATGAAGAAAGAAGTGTAGATAACCTGGTGAACTTGAACTGAAGAAGAAAAGAAAAGGAACAATAAATGCTATGAGACTGACTACTTGTCACTTCTGTTTTCTATAATAAGCAGAAAATTTCACAACCCATATTTGCTTTCCAAATTTATTTTGCTTTAAAAAAAAAAAAAAAAAAATCAAGGAGATTTTGTTTCTAACAGAAAATATTCCATATTCACACTGCAGTTTAACCTTGCTTGAAAAGAAACTGGCTCATATGGCAAATTCCAGAATCTAGAAAAGGAATCTCTCTAACCCTGATAGGCATTTAAGTCCTATTTTACTAGGGCAATATCTCCAAGCACAGCAACATGCAGTTGATTGACAAGGGC